CCAACGGCTAACAAAAGGAACAACTGGCTTCATCATTTCTCTATTGTCATCCTGGAAGATATCTAAAAGCTTTTAGACTAAAACAGTCCCGCTTTGTTTGGATGTGGATTAGTGGTTTAGTAGTAGTGGATTAGTTTTTACTCTTGGTTTCAGTATGAAGCAGAAATAAACTGGGGAGGGAAAAGATGAAACTGGTGTTTGGTGATTGAAGTCAACATAGTTTGTGTAGAATAACATGGTGACGTGAAGAAAGGGCAAAATGTTGCAGCTGCTGTGTGTCTGCAGCAGGGGTCTCAAACTGGTTCCAGGCTGCAGGTGTTCTCTCCAACCAAGCAATAGCACACCAGACTCCAGTCATCTCATCAAGTCATCATGTTAAGACTGGACTCACTTGATGAGATGACTGGAGTCTGGTGTGCTATTGCTTGGTTGGAAAGAACACCTGCAGCCTCACGGCCCTTTCTGGAACCAGTTTGAGACCCCTGGTCTACATGTTCATTGTGTTAGAGCAGGGGTGCTCAAGTCCAGTCCTCAAGAGCTACTATCCTTCAACTTTTTCATGTACCCCATTTTTAACACACCTGAATCAAATGAGTGGCCTCGTTACCTTGCCTCTGCTGGGCTAAATGAGGGGATTGAGCCTGTCGATTCAGGTGTGTTAGAGAAGAGATGCATCTAAAAGTTACAGGATGGAAGCTCTTGAGGACTGGACTTGAGCCTCCCTGTGTTAGAGTGGACGGTACCAGGTTTATTTGAGTAAACTGGAAGTATCCTCTGTCTCCACTCTCCTGGGAGCCAATCACGTTGTTTTTTTTTTCTGATTTCTTGTTGTCATTTTGTGCATACAATAAAGTAAAATTATTAACTTTAAAAACAAACATTTCAAGTCCTCTTGACGAGGATCTTATTAAGGAATAATCTCCATTAATTCGCAGAGAATCAGATATTTATAGGGAGAAGATTCTACAACTGTATATATTTTTTTATTTAATATGACGACATGTGAGCCTTTTTGTATATTAACTGAAGAACTACTGACAGTATTTTTAGATTACACATAAATGGATTCATCAATTCTGTGGTTTCAGTGAAACCAACCTACAGAGCCTACTAGCACGATCCATAGCCATTCCATAGGACTGATAACCGGCAATAACGGCCATTTATTGGGATGATAACATCCGAAGCGGCTGCAAGCAAACACTTAGTATTTACTGTGTAATAGGAGACAGAATCCAACTTAGGAGGAACCCATGAGATGATGAACAGGTCCTACCCGTTAGGATAATGTTTTTAGACTTCATCTTCACCTGCTGAAGATCCTATTAGATCCTATTAGAAAGAATCCTTTTATAGTGATCTATAAATGGAACAACAGAGAAGAGTGTTTAATAAAGCTTCACAAGTTGTTTTACGCAATTTCGGTCATAAAAACAAAACAAGCCGGCCTCCTGTCTGCGGCACTGTTTGCGGTCAGATACAATTTGTGAGAGGTGCAGCGGAGCATCTGTAGAGGGGGTGGGGACGTCTGGAGCCAAGGTATTGCATTGCACTCATTGCACTGATTTTGTGCAGTATTTTTTGATGCAAGACCTTCAGAATCTATAACGCAGGGGTATTATTATTTTTCAGTGAATGAGGTGGGGTGCAACTTCTCTACTTCTGTTATTTGCATGGTTTCTAAAAAAAATGCATCACGATATTACAGCTTTCATTGATTTATTTCAAATCTGAACCATTGTCTAGCCTGTAAGGGAGGGAAAAAAAAACAATCAAATCAAAAAAAAAAAAAAAACAATCTAATCGTATTGTGGTGTATTCCTGAGTATCAAAAATAATCAAATCGTTGGGTCAGGAAATCGGTACTGAATCGAATTGCCTTGATGGATGTGATTTGCACCCCTATTATGCACATGTTCAGGTCACAGTGGACCTACTTACAGTTGATCAAACTAACTCACAGCAGCCTTATTGATATTGAGTTTTCAACCGTAGGCTAGATCAATTTAGAGTTGAGGGTTTAACTCTGAGTTTGTTTAAACCTGCTTTGTGAAATGGACCCCTGGCCAGTAGCAGCTGAGAAAACCATTTGATATTTCATCCACCAATTACAGCACATATTTTCTTATGTAGGAATTACACAGTGGTCTGGATTATAATTAATTAATTAAATAATTAATATTAATGTTTGTTTGTTTGTTTGTTTGTTTTTGGATTTTTTTGTGCAACATTGAAACAAACTTTTCTGTGAGAAAACAGTGCTCTGGGACACAATATGAGTAGAAGGCTTAATTTTATCCCTATGTTTAAAAAAAATTGCTGTCTTCTTTGGTTGAAATTCCACGAGGATCTAACTTATGAGGAACACCTGAGTGTCGATCATTTTAAGGAACTAAATAGAAATATTTCAAGCTCATAATTTACACAGCAGCATTTTGATCAGGTGGGATTGTTTCCCAGTTTTTTTCTTAACTCTATTCAACAAGCAGTCTAAACAATAGAAACACAGATACTGAGGATAGAACTCATCACCACTGTGGGGTTATTATTTAAACAAATTTCAGGAAACCTTTGGTTTTATGGCTGTTTGGACAAATAACTATTAAAAGGGGTCCCTATATCCTCCAGCAGTCTAAGCCTATAGCAGCATAACTATAGAGATAGCTCAGGATAACCTGAGCCACTCTAACTATAAGCTTTATCAAAAAGGAAAATTTTAAGCTTAAAAGTAGACAGGGTGTCTGCCTCACTGACTACAACTACTAGTTGGTTCCACAGCAGAGGAGCCTGATAACTAAAAGAAGGAACAATCATATCACTTATATCAGATGGATCCTGGTTAATTATAGCTTTATATGTGATATGGAGCATTTTAAATTCTTAAAAGGAAGTAAATGAAGAGAAGCTAGAATAGGAGAGATGTGGTTTCTGTTTTTAATTTTCATCAGGACTCTGACTGCAGCATTTTGGATCAGCTGAAGGCTTTTTACTACAGTTTGTGGACTTCCTGACTGTAAAGATTTACAATAGTCCATCATTGAAGTAACAATTGCATGGACTAATTTCTCAGCATCACCCCTGGACAGGATATTTCTCTGAAGATAAAAGAAGGAAATTCTAGAAACCTCTATGATATGGGATTAAAATGGCAGCTCCTGCTCAACCTCTGACACATTGAGCTGGGGTATGTCTTTTCCAGGCAGAGGTGTATAGCAAGCTCTGCTGAGTTTAGGGTGTCTCATTACTTCCTCATTTGCCAGACAGTCACTGTGGTGTTGGATATAAATGCTTTACTTTTCTTAATTATAGTTTGTGGGGAAATAAATTTAGGCCAGAATGAACTACATATCTTCAGGTTGCTTGATAGGATCCACTCGCTCCTCAACCTCAAGGAGAGAGTTTGGTGCTTTTATGTGAGGTGTCCTTTATTTAACCACCAATAGAAAGCATTTTTGCTGTGTTTGTCTTTCCAGACTGCCTGCAGGATTATGTTGGAAAAGAGGAGGATTTCTCTGACCAGCAGCTCTGTGGACAGGAGAGGAAATCCAGTTTGGATCAAGAGGAGTCGGAACATCCGCAGATAAAAGAAGAGCGTCAAAAGCCAGAACATCCCTGGATAAAAGGGTGATTCTCATGAAATCATGAGAAATAGGTGTCACAAAGCATTTTTATGATTAAAGTTTACTCTATAAAAATAAAAAATATATAAATTAAATCACATTTTCATGTACTATATTGCACATAACTCCAAATCACAATACCTTTTACACATTTTGTTTTTTTTTTTACATTTAATGGTAAATTTTCTCAGTACCGCAACGCGTCCAGAACTAAAATTGTGCTGTATAAGATTGAAATATTATTAATTAAAAAGATAAAAAAGAATACATTTCAGAAAATATCATACTACTAATAAGCACAAATAAAGTACATTGGGTATTTGGTGACTGTTGGTAAAGACAGTGAAAATAATAAGAAAAAGAAATGTGTCCAACACCAACTTTCTCATCCTCCGCAACAATTTTGAATCAGCAATAAAATCAACAAGGAACAAATATTTCCAAGGCATTTTGTTTGAGGGGGACTGAATTGACTGTAACACTCAAGATGTCTACCAGGTAAGCAGCTATATTTTTCTCTCTCAAGACAAAAGTTAAAACTTTGGTCTTATTGCACCTATGTAACTTTTTAATTCTCATTACCGCAACATGACATTATGAAGTCTTAAAAAATATTTCTGCTTTTATTTTTCTGTAATTATATAGCCTATTGTGGTCTAAACATAAACAGCTAAGAAAAGTTTAGCTAACCCTCATGGTGCTCCTATAGCTAGCGATAAAGGTCAAGGTCACTCATCCTCCGCAACACCATTATCATTCACCGCAACTGTTGCGGTAGTGAGACTCAGTGTTTCGGTGGATGAGAATACATTGGAATGAGCTGTTAAAGCCAATGCATCCTGAGAATGAAAGGAAAAAATAAATATAATGTACATATAAAGTCTAAAATAAATATGATATACATTGAAAGGAGCTGCTATAGCTGTTAATTACATTTTAAAATGTAACATTTCAACCTCATTTCACTATACATCATATTTATTTTACTATGCATTACTATATATGAAATTATATCATATTATATACTATATATTATATTATATTATGTTATATTACATTATATTATATTATATTATTAAACAGTATATCATAAAGGATGGGAATGCATAATAACAGCTCATTTCAATATATCATTATTTTTATTGTACATTATTATTTATTAAGTGTAGACCTATGTTATATGTATTATATAATATTATTATTACACTTTTGTATTATATTATTGTACATTTTATTCAGATACGGTTACAAGCCATTTCCCCACCAGTCCTACCTAGACTCAGTAATCTTCCACATTTATGTACTGTATGGTGGCTTATTTGAAAAGTTTTATGAAAATTATTAAATTATGAATATTTAATATTGTTTTTTTTTTCCTTTTTGTTGGATTAGCGTGTGATAAAGAATAGAATAGAATAGAATAGACATTTTGCAGCTAAGCTGCCTGACCAGTCTTTCCATAGAAACAATAATGATGACTTGGTTAAATCTTCTTGCAAAAGTGCAGTCTTTACATGTGCTATCTTGTTACAGGAAAGCATCAGGTGAAAAGAAAAGGGCTTCAGCGCAACAGAGGCTGGCAAAGCATAGGGCAACAGTTTACAGCGATCCAATCTTGCATGAGGAACACAAAAGGAAAGAGAGAGAAAGGTTAGGGGAAAGAGTGATAACAGGGAAAATATACAGTATATGTAATGTATGTTAGGTGGTTTGACAGTTGCACTCACCCATCCAAAGCCTTGCACTCACAGAGAAATGGAAACATTTCCCAAAGCACACACTCAGAGAGACACACTTGTATGATGTTACCATGCAAACATTCATCTGCTGCACACATTGCCTACACACCCGAACACACAGTTACATCCTCAGCAAATATAGGTATGCACACAATTTTGTACATAGTCCATTGATTGAAAGAAATATAGCATGAGCATAAATAAAAGGTCTGTTTTTTTTTCTTCAAGGTATCAAAAACGTAAGGAAGCTGGTAAACTCAAAACTACTAAAGATCTGACAAGCAAACAGCTCGAAAGAAGAAAGCAACAATGGCGGAAGAACTCACAAAATTATTACAAAAGAAAAAAGCAGCAGCAAGTACTTCTGGACTTGACACCAGAATCATTTGTCAGTCAGGAGAATATGGAGAATGGAAGTACTGAGAATGATGGAGCACAAAGAGAGGAAGCAGACCCTAATCCTGACAGAACACCACTGAGAGCCCTCCAAGAACATTTAGAAATGACAGGACCAATGGATACATCAACCCCCGAGAGGGTGCTGCCATTAAAAAAGAGAGAAGGGCCACGAGCACTTGTGGGAAAATTGAGAAGAAAATTAAAATGTGCAGAAGAAAAATGTGAGGCAAAAACAGCAGAAGTGTTGAAACTTAGAAGACAACTAAGAAGACTGATGGCCAGTAAACAAAGAGGAACAAGGGGGACACTGCCAAGTACCAATCAAGAAGTCAGGGTCAGGCAGTCTGCAAAGCAGAACAATGGCAAACGGAAACAGCTGTCAAAGATTCTGAGCAGCTTTTTACACCGGGATGATGTCTCCACAGTCATGAATGGAAAAGCTGGGGAGATTCGGCGCAGGGGACAAATCTTTAGAAAAAGAGCCCTAACAGACACGCTATCCAAACTACATAAGCGATTCCTTACTGAACATCCTGAACATCCCGTGTCCAGAGCTCAGTTCTTCAGATTGAGGCCATTTTGGATTGTGAGACCCACCATTACAGAAAGGGAAACATGCGCATGCAAAATGCATGAGAACATAAATCTAAAGGTGAAAAGGCTTCATGAACTGGGGATCATAGAAACATCAAGCCCCGAAGATCTTGTGAAGCTGAGTGTGTGCGACACAGGAAACATGTCCTGTATGTATGGAAGATGTAAGGAATGCAGCAAAAAAAGCTTCACTGCAACTTAAGATCCCCTCATTCAGGGAAACATTGTTGTGTGGCAGGAGTGGCAAACAAGGTCTGTCACTGTAACAAAGACCCACAGAAGTGGTGCAGCAGAGGACAAGGAGACCAAGAAAACCCTGCTTGAAAGTAGGACATCCTCGGTTGAGAGGTTACTTGCCCTGACAAGAGAACAGCTGCCATCTTTTGCCATCCATCTCTTTAATGTAAGTCACCAGTATAAGGCAATTAAGGCAATGAAAGATAGCCTGGCAGATGACGCTGTAGCCATACACATCGACTACAGCGAGAACTACAGCTGTAAATATGCCAGGGAGATTAAGGAGACCCACTTTGGCACCGGAAATGACCAAGTCACCCTCCACACTGGGGTAATTTACCTAAGTAGGGACAGGGTGGAAGCGTTTGCTTCTCTCTCAGCCTGCCTACAGCATGATGCTGTAGCGACATGGGCACACCTTGACCCAGTTTTGAAGCACATAAGGAAGAAGTATCCTGAAGCCTACAACATACACTTCATTTCAGATGGCCCAACATCTCAGTATCGCAACAAATCTTGCTTTTACTTGGCCTCCACCGTGCCCTTCATGCACGGATTCAAATCTGTGACTTGGAATTACACGGAGGCTTCGCATGGGAAGGGTGCTCCAGATGGAGTGGGTGGGGCTTTGAAAAATCTTGCAGATAGAATAGTGTCTTATGGGACCAGCATTCCAAATGCAGATTCTCTGTATGATCAATTGAAGGTCAACTCCTCAGTGACTCTCTTCAAAGTGTCTGAAGAGAAGATAAAGGCCAGCAGCGAGTTGATGCCTCCAAATCAGAAAGTGGTCCCTGGAACACTGAAAATACACCAAGTGAGTTAACAGTTCTAAAACTAAATATACAGTATTTTAGCATGTATGTAAGTACCAGTAAGTTTAAGTAATGAAGTAAATAAAGTGATTAATGTGGAGAGCAGGACACAAACCATGTCTGCAAATATTGAAATTATTAAGAAACAATGTTCTTATATGCCTTTAATTCCATTCCACCCTAACAGCTAACATCAACAAAACCAGGAGTGATCGCAACTAGGGAGGTATCCTGTTTTTGCGACAAAAGTTGCTACCCAACAGTAACTCATTTGCTTTCTGATGACGGAGAGGAACCTGATGCCACTGAGACCATCAAGGTTGGGCAGTTGGTACTCGTCCAGTACGATGGCGACTTGTACCCAGGAAAAGTAACACAGGTAAATTAATGGTCACATTTTCTGTTAATATCTCTCTCCATGTACTGTGCATTATAGTGATATACACACGAAACTCATAGAAATTGAATGCAATTCTTCTTAAAACAGATTGCTGAGGGGCAATATGAGGTGGAGACAATGAGCTGCATTGGGGAGAACCGTTTTTATTACCCCTCTAAAAGATACCCTGGAGAAGATGTTTGGTACTATCGGCAAGACATCAGGGAAATAATTCCAGAACCCCTACCTGCCACCTCCTCTGCTCGGCACTTTTGTGTCTTGCCTGACATTTGGGCAAAACATAAAAACGCATCTTAATTGTTTTTTTGATACATTCACACACTCGTGCACTGCACACACTTACTCAACTCCGGCTGGCTGTGGCACATAGACATTTTGACTGACACACACACACACACATTTTTCATGTTTGAATGCCTGAATGAATGCACAAGACAACAAATGAATGAATGAATTCACCAAAGCAAAAAGAATGTAATAAAATTAACGACGAAATGAAATAAAAGTTCTTTTGCAAATGTTATGTGTTTCTGTTGTTTGACATTATGGTATTACGTGTTCTAAATTTCAAACTGGAATAAGAACCAAATGTTGTGACAGGTCAGGGGCGGGGAACCTGTGTTTCGAGGGCCGTTTGTGGCTCTTAAAGGCCGTTTTATCCGGCCCCTGGTATAGTTTTAAGGTTATGCAGCTTCGCATGAAATATGACATATTTTGTAAAGTAAACTTAGAAAGTACATTTGCAATACAATTAAGTTATATTCAGGGGACCTAGAGAAGCTGGGTTCTGTTTTAAAGCTGGCTGCCTTCGATATAGGCCTAAAGTACAGGGGGAAATCCTGATTTTTGTTCGTAATAAGGCCCTCGGAGGACTTCTACAGCCCTCGGATGAATGTGAAGTGGCCCCTCAAATGAAAGGGGCTCACCACCCCTGTGATAGGTTAATGAATTGTTTTGAAATATTTGTGTCATTAACATGGCCCTAAATGGGATATTGTCACAGCTTTGTTATACAATAATTAGAATCATTTTAATTCGCATTGTATATTTTTTTCTTCCACAGAACATGCCATATTGTGTTGAATATAGCTGAGCCGAAAAAAAATTACAGTAATAGATATTTATATTTGTTGAATATTCACAGACTTCATACTCCATGTGCTTGTAATGCCAACATTTACCAGAGATATTAGCTGTTGAATAGGAATCCTTATGGACCTATACAGTAATTCTCATCTCCGAAACATTGAAACTCATTTCCGAAACATCATTCTCATTACCCGACACATAGTTATTTGCAAATTATTGAATTACTACAAACTGCTTTAAGTTTGTAGGGGTACTTAGATAAAATAGAGTGCTCCATACATTATCTCAATAAAATATAAATATATATAAGTATTTTTTCAGTAAGATTTCCTAAAAAGACAGACTATAAATCATTAAGTGTGTTGCGGTAATGAGACAAATCATAAAATTTGAATACAATACTTTACTTCAAATATAATAATTCCTGGTTTGTAATACACCTCTTAACATAACTGTTACTAACATTTATTTAACAAGTCATAAATGCATAATTTCTAAACATTTTTCTGATGTGATTTTATGTTGCGGTAATGAGAATTTCTTGGGCTCAGGCAGACTAAAACTGCAGTAAAAATTAAGAAAAAATGTAACAAACTGAATAAAAATTGTGTTTCTAGAAACTTAAGACTTCAATCTTGCATTCCAGAAAGAAAATTTGCCTTTAAAAGTCTTTTTAAAATTTTGAGGTGTGAACCGTTTTACATCTGATTTTCGTGAGAATCACCCAAAAGAGGAAACCATGGAGCTCCCCATAAGTGAGCAGAAAGAGCAGCTTGTTCTGAATAACAAGATTAAAGATACAAGAGAGAAACCTTTCCCATGTTTGACATGTGGAGAAAATTTTCTTTAAAAAAAGCATTTAATGATTCATGTGAAAACTCACACAGATCAGAAGTTTTATTGTCTATCCTGTGGAAAATTTTTCACAAACAAATCTAGACTTGATACACATATGATAATTCACAAAGGTGAGAAGCCTTTTTCTTGTACCATTTGTAACAAGAATTTTACTCGAAAGAGTAATTTGACTACTCACATGAGAATTCACACAGGTGAGAAGCCTTTTGAATGTCTGTCCTGTGGAAAAAGCTTCACTGACAAATCTTATCTTGATACACACATCAGAATTCACACAGGTGAGAAGCCTTTTGAATGTCTGTCCTGTGGAAAAAGCTTCACTGACAAATCTTATCTTGATACACACATCAGAATTCACACAGGTGATAAACCTTTTGAATGTCTGTCCTGTGGAAAATGTTTCACTCAGAAGTCTGATCTTAATACTCACATGAGAATTCACACAGGTGAGAAGCCTTTTGAATGTCTGTCCTGTGGAAGAAATTTCACCTCTAAGTCTGATCTTAATAAACACATCAGAATTCACACTGGTGAGAAGCCTTTTGAATGTCTGTCCTGTGGAAGAAATTTCACCTCTAAGTCTGATCTTAATAAACACATCAGAATTCACACTGGTGAGAAACCTTTTGAATGTCTGTCCTGTGGAAAAGGTTTCACCTCTAAGTCTGATCTTAATAAACACATCAGAATTCACACTGGTGAGAAGCCTTTTTCCTGTACCATTTGTAACAACAAATTTAATCAAAAGGGTACTTTGACTAAACACATGAGAATTCACACAGGTGTGAAGCCTTTTGAATAAGTCACTGCAGTTAGATGCCACAGGAATGAACAGTAGAGGTGTTTACCATGTTTGACTGGTGATAAAATGTCCATCTAGAAACTCCTTCACCTCATTACATGAGAAACTCACGGGGGCAAGTTTTGAGAAAGCCATTAATCAAAAGCTCTGTTTACATAGAAACCAGAACAGATGATGTGTTATATAGTAAATCTGGTAAATACTCTGGTCCTATGATTTATTTTTATTTGTTTTTTTGTTTGTTTTATTTTCATTGCCAATATGTAATCTGTACCTGATCTTTTCATGACAGTCTGAAAAATAAAAATCTGATTTTGCAACAATAGTTCTGGACCATTTATTGAAAAAGTGAGAATTTAAGAGGTTTTTGATTAACAACTTGTACAACTCAATTTGTGTAGTTGTACACAAAAGTTAAAAAACATTTTTTTCTATTATTCTACAATTGTTGATATAAATTGGTTGTCGTCGTTTTTTTGTCTCAATTTTATAAACCAGTTTACTAATCCTGACTGCAATTTTCTTAGCACTAAATTTGAGCTATTCCTATTACCTCAAAGGTGAAAGTTCCATCAATGAAATATTCTTAATGAGGTTACTAATTTCTGTGCAGTTCAATTACCAAATAAAGGATGATGGTGATTTACATTTAGTCAAAGAGAGAACAAAAGTAACAGCAATGATCAGTTAAAGGGGATGGTGATATTTTACCACACAATATTATAAATCATGGAAGGAATCAACCAATAGTCTACTTGAGGAATTTAATCAGGCGTTTTGTCTCAGATTCCTTGATCTCCAACAATCAGATTAAAACTGGAGAATAAAAATATCCTCAATGAGAGGATGCTGCCATTCAGTGGGAAAACGATCAGTCAATCCATCTGGAGCTACAATAATCTCCCCTCCAATGAGAACCTGTTCAGTGAAGTATTTAAGCTTCCACTGCTCTATTTCCTTTAGGTTGAATTTGTTATTTGTTAAACACAGTCCCTCGAAATATGAATACGCTACAATATAATGATTACTTTTGAAGTCTTACTCTTGATTTTATAAAAACATTGTACATTTAAAATACAATGAAACAAAAAAAGAACATAATTACTTATTAAAAATGTCCTGCTATATAGATCCTTTCTATAGCAACCATTATGCTTTATTAAGACTTAGACAAACATCAATGTCATTTTCTATGCAGAGTTTATACAAAATGAAATTTGTGAAGTCCTGGCTCTGTATCACAGGTGGTTTGTGCAGTAAATGTGCTTGAACTCAAGCGGAGTGAATTCTTTACTCCGCTCATTCCGGGCTATCATGGAAAAGTTTCACAAGTCTTAATCAGATCTATGAGAAAAACAGAACACATAACTGTTATGTTGTTCCTGCTTTTTACGTACTGTGATTGGGGTAAAAAAGGTTTTACAAAAAGTTGGATTTCTAACCCTGAATCAGAAGCATAGAAGTGGCTGCAGTACCCTGAGGCAATGCCTTCACTATAAAACCCCCTTAACTCTCTTTGCCTTCCTTGTCCCCAGAAACCTGCATATACATATAGTGTATATATATTAGGGGTGGAACGGTTCACAAAATCCACGATTCAGTTCGGTTCACGGTTTCATGGTCACGGTTTTCGGTTTAGCAAACAATTCCTTGAGTTATTGAATTAGTTAAAGAGTGAGTGAAATACTTATCTTTTCTATGGATTCTGGTCCTCCTGACGATAGAGGTCCTCTTAATCTGAGACTAAAGACATAGGGAAGAGACTGGGTTTTAGTAAAATGTTCCTTCAGTCATGGAATGAGTTAAAGAGTGTGTGAAATTCTTAGCTTTCCTAAGGATGCTTGTCCTGCTGATAATGGAAAACTTTGGATCTGAAAACAAATGACATATTGAAGAGACAGAGTTTTAGTAAGACGTTGCTTAAGTTATTGAATGAGTGAAAGAGTGAGTGAAATACTTATCTTTTCTAAGAATGCTGGTCCCATCGATGATTGAGAACTTTGGATCTGAAAACTAAAGACATAGTGAAGAAACAGGGTTTTAGTAAATGGTTCTTTTAGTTATTGAACAAATTAATGAGTGAATGAAATACTTATCTTTTCTAAGGATGCTAGTGCTCCTGTTGATAAAGGTCCTCTGGATCTGAATCTAAAGAAATAGTACAGAGACAGGGTTTTAGTAAAATGTTCCTTCAGTCGTGTAATGAGTTAAAGAGTGAGTGAAATACTTATCTTTTCTGTAAATGCTGGTCCTCGTGTTGATGGAGGTCCTCGGGATCTGAAGCTAAAGACATAGGGCCGGATCTATCAAAGGTTTGCGTGTATAAAAACGTGAGCTATTTCACTGCGCATGCTAAAAAATGTACAAACTGATCTATCAACAGCGTGCTAAAAGGATTTGGTCTTTAAAACGTGCTAAATAGTGCCTCTTATCCATTTAGTACTTTTTCTGCAATGAATATGCAATATGGGACGTTTACGCGCAAAAGTGCGTCTTGTGGGAGGAGAACATGTAAATATATTAATTTAGCACTCGCAAAGTGATTTATTAAACCTGAAAGCAATTTTGCTAACGGTATCTTACTCTATATTTAACACGTTTCAAAAGAAGGTGCAAATGGTCTGTATGCGTAATTGCGCACACATGGCAGCGGTGGGTTGCGCAAGAAGGAGACATCGAAATGAAGCAAGGAGACGCAGAGAACGCATTTTTTCACTCCGTGGGAATATTTTTGGAATGAACGAGGAAACGATCATCAAAACATATCGTTTATCCAGCATTGCCATTTTGGAGCTGTTGGGGGAACTCCGAATGGATTTGGAGCCAGCCACAAGGAGGACCCACGCAATACCAGATATCACAAAACTCCTTGCAACATTGCACTTTTTTGCATCTGGGTCATTCCAGCGTACGGTTGCAGCGTGAGCTGGGATCTCCCAGTCTCGTTTTTCAGAAGTGCTGTCCAATCTTCTAAATGCCAATGTCGATCGGACGCCCTACCGTAGAACCCCGACACCCTGCGCCTGTGGAGCAACATGCCAATGCTGCGGGGATGCGTACGTGCAGTAATCTCATCCACAGTCACTTCTTGTGAGCCATTTGGTATGTGCAGTTTTCTACAGGCCAATACAAAACACCTGTTTTTTGTTTTTTTTACTGCAGTGAAGTAGAAATTCAGCCACATACCACCTTAGGGAATAAAGGTTGCCAAAGTTTGTTTTATATATATATGTAGCAGGATAAATGGTACGCTGCCACTTTAAGATCAATTTCGGCTGCTGCATATAAGCAGGTCCCATCTGCCATGAAGCTGCTTGTGTCATGACGTCGTATCATTTTGGTTCCTTTGTCTGCTGAACTGTGCTGGGTAAGCGTGGCTGTTTCTTTGTTTGTCAGCGTTTATCTTAGTTATTAATGCAAAATGGTCTGCTCCGTTTAGCCTCTTTTGCTGCTCCTCCAAAACCCGGACTGATCTGTTCGTTTGTTTGCTTGGTGCTGGGAAGGTAAGGGCTAGCATGGCTAGATAACATCCACCCCATATAAACAAAGCCTTTACACAGCATTTTGTTACAGCTGCGCTGCATAGGCGGAATTGTGAAACAGTTTATTTGGCAGCCTGGTAATGCAACAGGTAAGCGGCTATCGTGCATAATAGTTTCATCAGCAGTTGTATTGATGGTTTGCTTTATTTTTTTTTTAGCCTCCGGATGAGTCTTGATTATCATTATACTGGATTTCACACTCGCTGCTGTTTTGCCTAAAAGGAACTGTTAAGGTTGCCACACATATATATATATATATATATATATATATATATATATATATATATATATATATATACACATATACACACTCACCGGCCACTTTATTAGGTACCCCATGCTAGTAACGGGTTGGACCCCCTTTTGCCTTCAGAACTGCATCAATTCTTCGTGGCATAGATTCAACAAGGTGCTGGAAGCATTCCTCAGGGAGTTTGGTCCATATTGACATGATGGCATCACACAGTTGCCGCAGATTTGTCGGCCGCACATCCATGATGCGAATCTCCCGTTCCACCACATCCCAAAGATGCTCTATTGGATTGAGATCTGGTGACTGTGGAGGCCCTTTGAGTACAGTGAACTCATTGTCATGTTCAAGAAACCAGTCTGAGATGATTCCAGCTTTATGACATGGCGCATTATCCTGCTGAAAGTAGCCATCAGAAGTTGGGTACATTGTGGTCTTAAAGGGATGGACATGGTCAGCAACAATACTCAGGTAGGCTGTGGCGTTGCAACGATGCTCAATTGTTACCAAGGGGCCCAAAGAGTGCCAAGAAAATATTCCCCACACCATGACACCACCACTACCAGCCTGAACCATTGATACAAGGCAGGATGGATCCATGCTTTCATGTTGTAGATGCCAAATTCTGTCCCTACCATCCGAATGTTGCAGCAGCAGAAATCGAGACTCATCAGACCAGGCAATGTTTTTCCAATCTTCTATTGTCCAATTTCCATGAGCTTGTGCAAATTGTATCCTCAGTTTCCTGTTCTTAGCTGAAAGGAGTGGCACCCGGTGTGTTCTTCTGCTGCTGTAGCCCATCTGCCTCAAAGTTCGACGTACTGTGCGTTCAGAGATGCTCTTCTGCCCACCTTGGTTGTAACGGGTGGTTATTTGAGTCACTGTTGCCCTTCTATCAGCTCGAACCAGTCTGGCCATTCTCCTCTGACCTCTGGCATCAACAAGGCATTTCCGCCCACAGAACTGCCGCTCACTGGATATTTTTTTCTTTTTCGGACCATTCTCTGTAAACCCTAGAGATGGTTGTGCGTGATAATCCCAGTAGATCAGCAGTTTCTGAAATACTCAGACCAGCCCTTCTGGCACCAACAATCATGCCACGTTCAAAGTCACTCAAATCACCTTTCTTCCCGATACTGATGCTCGGTTTGAACTGCAGGAGATTGTCTTGACCATGTCCACATGCCTAAATGCACTGAGTTGCCGCCATGTGATTGGCTGCTTAGAAATTAAGTGTTAACGAGCAGTTGGACAGGTGTACCCAATAAAGTGGCCGGTGAGTGTATATATATATATATTTTTATTATTATTATTTATTTATTTATTTTTTGGAGGGGGTGTCACTGTAAGATTTAAATTTCTTAATGCACTAGTTTGTACAAACTACTTTGCCGCAAACTACAAAACGCGCAAAACCATCATTTAAATAGGGCGTCTCCAACAGTTTTGCACCTGCCACCAGTTACGCAATCACTCTTGTTAAATCACCCGCAAACCATGGTTCAGCCCCTTGCGCAAAATTCCAGTTTGCGAGCGCAAATTACTGCACGCAAAATTGGATCTTGATAAATCTGGCCCATAGTGAAGAGACAGGGTTTAAGTAAATAGTTCCTTGAAATAGAGACTGAGTTAAATAGTGAGTGAAATACTTTTCTTTTCTAAGGATGCATGTCCTACTTATGATGGAGAACTTTGGATCTGAAAACTAAAGACATAGTGCAGTTACAGGGTTTTAGGAAATAGTACCTTAAGTTATAGAATGAGTAAAAAAAAATGAGTCAAATACATATCTTTTCTGTGGATTCGGGTCCTCCTGATGATGGATGTCCTCCGGATTTAATTCTAAAGACATAGCAAAGAGACAGGGTTAAAGTATACAGTTTGTTAATTAGGATAGGTTCTCAGGTATTTTGTAGCCAACAGGATGGTGTATCAGTCAGGATACACGAAAGAGGACACGAGATCAAACTTCACTTTGGATGTGAGCTGGTTTATTTGTCATGATGCTCAGTGTTGCCAGCAGTCTGTAATAACAAATAAATTGCCATTAGCCTAACATAGTACAAGACCAGAGGTTTAACTAATACACTCAAATAAACATCCAATAAGGAATAAACTTAACCATCCACTTTGCATGTAAAACCACGACATATAAGTAACTCGATTCACATAAAGGTTACATTATTAGGCACAGCCTCTATGATAAAACACAAACACAGACAGCCCTTCGGCTCAGTTGAACATAAAATGTACTTAAGCACCATTTAACTGCATTTCGGTTGTATCTGTTGTTATTTTCCATTGAGTTATTGCAGCATTATTAAGAGCATGCGCTGCCAGCTGCCACCATTGTGCAGGGATTTTATCTAGCCACATGATGGCGCCAAAGTACATCCTATGCTCAAGGTAAACCTATGAAGATCAAGCATGCTCAACTTAGTTCCAGCGCTCAGAGCCCCCGCAACATCAAATACACGTCCTCTCGTAGCTTACACATATAACGACTGAATCTAGAATAAACAAACCGCACGCTAGGTGCGATAACTTATGTTTTGTCATCAACTTAACACTCAGAGCATCACTTATCAGAACTTCACCAAGAATGCGGTCTCACATGTCGAGAATGCAGTGAACTGAAACTGAAAGTATATTAAAACTACCGTATTTTCACGACCATAAGGCGCACCGTACTAAAAGGCGCACTCTCAGTTATGTGTCCCATTTCTGTATTTAACACACACATAAGGCGCACCGGACTATAGGGCGCGTTTTATATATACAGGTACATGTCCTCTACTACCTTTAAATACCTCTACTGCGTATTTAAAAATACAGCGGGGGCAAAACTGAGTATGACTGTGCTTTATTCATGTATTTATTACAAAGTATTAATCAAACCTGGCAGCTGGCCGTGAGACAGACACATCGCAGATGACAGAGCGCTGTGGTCACTCCTAAATTAACTTAAAATCCTGAAACCTGCCGACGGAATATGTTCGCTTTTATTACCGGTATCCTAGTGCCTTCCGTTTAAATTATTTAGATGAAAAACACCTGCCAGCCACCGCGTGAACCCGGAGGCTGCCCAGCCTAGAGGCTGATGATGAAGGGATTTCTACTGTCGGTGCACCGCTGGTATGTGGGGGTCTGAGCGCCTCCGACAGAAATAGATAATCTGGATGAACTGACTGCAATTATGAAGTTTTCAGGTGGACTTTCTCACTGAAAAACATATTAAAACTACTTTATTCCCACTGATCACAGCAAATATAGCTGCAAGATTTAGATTATTTAGATGAAAAAACACCTGCCAGCCACCGCGGTGAAGAGGAGGAGACCGGGCCCAGAGGCTGCTGTTGAATTAAGTTTTCAGGTAGAAAAATAGAGCGGGAGCAAAACTGAGTATGATTGTGCTTTATTCATGTATTTATTACAAAGTATTAATCAAACCCATCAAAGTCATCATCCTCTGTTTCTGAATAAAACAGCTGCGCTAAATCAGACATGCCAATTTCCCCTTCTGCGCTGTCAGAGTCACTTTCCGTGCAGCGCGGCTCCTCAGAAATAATGCCGGCTTTTGCAAAAGCTTGAACAACAGTGCCAGCAGACACGTTAGTCCAAGCATCTACAATCCATCCGCAAACGGTGGCGTAACTTGCCCGGCGCTGCCTTCCACTTATCCTGAAACTGTGGTCTCTGTCGGTCATCCATCGCTCCCACGCCGCTTGCAGCCTTACTTTGAACGGCCGCTTCACACCGATGTCGAGCGGTTGAAGTTCCTTTGTCAGACCCCCGGGATAACGGCGAGCACAGCGTTCATTTGATTCACCTTTTTTTTCACATCGGCTGTGAGATGGGCACGCAGCGATGGTGATGCGTGGAAAAAACCACCTGGTCTCCTCACATACACCTCCCTCTGCCATGCTTTCATCATCTCCTCATCCATCCAGCCTTTTTCATTTAATATCATATTTCATCAGAGCGCTGTGTCTGTCTCGCTGTCAGCTCCCAGATCAGCTTCTCTGATTGGTTGATGCGGCGCGTCCAGCAGCAAAACTTCAATTTTTCCATCTCGAGCAGCAGCAGCGCGTTGGCGGTGCGTCAGATGCTTAAACGCTTCCCGACGCGCTGCGCCTGCTGCTCAAAACGCGCTGCGGGACCTTTTGCTGCACCTATACGCGCGTCAACCATTGACTTTGCATGTAAACTCGCTGCTTCTGCTGCACCTGCTGGGTCCGGTTCACACCGATGTCGAGCGGTTGAACAGCGAGCACAGCGTTAATTTGTTTCCCCATGTTTTTCACATCAGCTGTGAGATGGGCACGCATGGAGTTACATATTAACAGCGATGGTGATGAGTGGAAAAAAAAACACCTGGTCTCCTTACATTCAGCCACTTTTTCATCATCTCCTCAATGAGGTGGTCTCAAAAGTCGCAGATACAACACACATAGGGCGCACCGCACCAAAGGGCGCACCGCACATTTTGAGGGGAAAATAAGACGTTTAAGTGCGCCTTATAGTCGTGAAAATACCGTATATCATTACTTAGTTTTGTCCTGATATAACTTCTAAGTTGAAGATATTTAAAAAAGTATTTTCTATGTATGTTAAATTTTTGCCTGAGTGCTTCAAATGACATCATATAAATTGAACCTGCTGGATACAAATTCTGGACTTTGGCTGTTCCATTAAGAGCCCATTGTTTAAACACAGCATCTGATCTACCTGGACTGAAATCACGGTTTCCCCATAATGGAGTGAACTGTGACAATGTAACTGGCTCTTTTGTAAATTTCTTTACATCGTATCAAACTTTAACCATATTTCTAACCATTGGGTTAACTGTTTTCTTCATTAATTTAGCTACTGTATCGGACAAAATAAACAAGGGAAGAGGTGGACTTACAGAATTAGATTCCATTTCTGTCCACTGGGGGACATCTTTAGTACTAAAATAATATTAAATGGTCCTA